TCAGCAGCACTTGAGGCAGCCAAACGTGCCGAGAATCCCTAACGTCTACCCCAACTCATCTGCCCAGATGTGGACGCCGACCGCGGTGCCAAGAATGCCAAATCAAAGCCAAGTGGATGCCAGCATGCAGCAGTTCTCCGGGAACACTCTCTTCTCCAAGCAGAGCACGAGGCCCAGCGCGCCAGGCCAGCAGTTCTCCCAGCAGGCTGTGGTGCCCCCTAATCAGATCGCTCCCAGCGTCCAGGTCAGACAGATGCAGAAACTGAGCATGGGCCAGTCTGGCCAGGGTTTGAGCTCAATGAGTAATCAGAGCTTGAGACACGATTTAACCAGAGGACCGTTGCCAGCTATGAATGTTATGAAATCAGTGCCACAAGGAGTGTCCGGTTTTAACCAGCTCAATCCCGCCTCGGGCCTGGGCCCGCCGAGCTATCCCTCGACGGGGCAGCCGTCCGATGCCTTCAACAGGATGAGCGCCGCCGCCGCCGAGCTGCCGCAGTACGACTTTGTGTCCCAGCACAGCAGCTCGGTCCTGCCCGCGAACTGCAGTGACACTGACTTCCTGGACTCCCTCATGAAGAACAGCAGCAGCAGCAACGACGAGGAGTGGTTGAACAATCTGACAATGATAGACGACATTTTGGGACAGCACGCTCAAAGCTCCGGACACGTTTAGCTCGGGGAGAAGCAGTCTCGTTGTAAATAACGTATGTATGGCTGTCGAGCATAACAGACAACCCGTGAAAGCCGCCGCCTCTTTCAGTCCAAAATGAGCAGACTCAGCCAATTCTTTGCCTGCATCAAAGTTTAATATTGGCAGTTTTTCAGATGACTGTATATATTTGAATATTTTGTAAATTATGTTTTCCTAAACCTTAAATGTAGAAGTATTTATACTTCTTTGCTGGACTGTTTGTAAATAAATCTATAGCATAACTTTTGGTTTTATTATAGGGATTTCATTATACCTTGTTATAAATATGCAAATAATATTGTTAGTTTCAGTAATACTGTGTATTACAGCATAAAATACTTATGTTTTTGACATAACTTAACACATGAACTAGGGGTGTCATTGCAACCAGACTAAGCAGAAATCAAACGTGGCATCTGTTCTCTCATCTCAAAAGGAAAGATTGAAAAGTTGCATCCAAGAAACCAAATAAAATCCATAAAAGGGGCTGCTGATTCCCTCGTGGCTCACTCCTGCAGCCCGCTTCTGGTATGCAGGTCCCATCCGGGCCCCCAGGGTGTTCAGGGATCTGCCCACAGAGATCCATTGGCACGATCCTGGGCACGTTCCCGACTGGATACGCTCCGGTAGGTCGACGGGACGCTGACAGTGCAGCGTCCTGCAGTGCGTGCTTGTGCTGTTGCACTTGCCCATGGGTCTGTGCGCGCGTGCGGGCACTGTGGGCCCACGAGGGCCGTGCTGCCCGCAGGGGGTTGCGCTGGAGCCGAGGCGCTGGGCAGGCACGGCCGGGCCTCCCTGGCGACTGCAGTGAAAAGGCAGCTCTGGTTTGCGCACCCCTGCCATGTATATTTGTAGTGTACAGGTGATTCGTTCCTGGTTTTAAGGCTTTTCATAATTTCTGTTTTAATGTGAGACTTTTTTTCAGGGAAAAAGTCTATAAACATTAATAGTTCATTTCTGATGTTTTTCTGTCAGCAACTATTGTCCTATGTATATTTAAGAGTCTGTTTATAAAAGATTCACCGTACTGTAAACTTCTTAAAATGTTCATACTTTGTGTAATCATATTTTAATAGTCACGTCATACTTCGCCATACATTTGTAATATAACGTCAGCTTCAAGCACAGAATGTTTTTTTCTTCATACCATAATAAACTGCCAGGGGAAAATTGCATATACTTTATGTGCTCATTTCTCAGCTGCAATGTTTTGTACCTGCAGATATTTGAATTAATTTGATTTGTCCAGGATGCTACAACGTCAATCTAATAACATGTACAAATGTGTGTGTGCTGTTAGTAGAAGAAATGGCCTAGACGAAGAATTGAAGCAGGCTTTAATTTTATTTTAAGATGGGATTTCTTAGGCCCGCTCTCTTTTTCCAGTGTAATTATAGGTGAACGTGAACTTAACCCCTGTTGGTTGTGTTTGTCATAGCACCGTGTTTATTTAAGTGACAGTTCTTGTTTCTAAATGCTCGGATCAGTCGGCCCATCAGAAAATAAAGCTGTGAGGAGGGCTGGGGGCTGCGGTGCAGTCACACCTTGCTCATACAGCGACGCCTGCAAGGGCAGAGGCGGGCACAGCAGACCCAGGAATGCTCTGAAGGGAGAGCTGGGGCCTGCCCTGGGGGAGGTGAGGCTGGGAGGAGGGGTGGGAAGAAACAGGAAAATTTTAGCAGTCTTAAATAAATACACAAATAGAATCTGTAGCTAAAATTGCCTTGTTTAAACAGAGCCAGACGTTGCCCCAGCTTCCCAGAGCTGGTGGAGAAGATGTGTTGGTGCTGCCCTTTGTCCCAGGCACACTGTGGGCACTGAGGAAATGTCCTGGGTGGGGAATCTCCCTCAAACTGGTCCATGCTGGAGGGAGGGGTTTGGCAAAGTTGTTCCTACCCTGGAGCGATTCCTTCTAGAAGCAGGTTCTCCAGAGCCAGGTGGCAGAAAACAGGTCCTGATGTCAAAAACGAGAGGGGACAGTCAGGGTTTAAAGCAGTTGGGTATGAGGTGTGCTGCCAGTGCTCAGGTAGGCAGGAGGCCTCTCCCATGCACAACCATCCCAGGCCCTGTCAGAGACCTGTGTGGCTTTGTGATGGCAAAGGCAGGTCCTGGCAGCGCAAGAGGCTCTGAAGGGAATGGCCCCCAGCTGGCTTCATGTCCAGAATGGCACGTCCTTGTGTGAAACCAGGGCGAGAAGGAAAGAAGGCAGTTCTTCCAGCAAAGGAAATCAGCCCCACCAAACTATTGCCCAAAACCGGCTGTAGAACTCAGCAAGTGCCTGAGTAAGACAGAAATGCCTCCAGACAGCAGAGAGGGGGAGAAGTGCCCCGAGTGCGTCTGTGGCGAGGACAAAGGTGAGTTTGTTTGGCGATGAAAGCTGGCACCGTTTCAGCAGCTTTTCTGTCATGAGCTGTGCGCTGCCAGGGAGCGGCGCTGGCTGCGACCGGGCCTTCGCTGCTCGGTGGCGCAGCGGGGCTGACCACAGGTCTGGGAGCCAGCAGTGCCTGACCCCCTCCGGGTTAGCAGCACGGCACGCACAGATGGCAGAGGAGGCTACTGCCCACACGCTCCTCTTCAGGATATTAATAAACATAAGAAAAAATGCCCTCTTTTCATTCTTCATTTTGTCTGTGTCAATGCGCCTTTCAGCTTCTCAGTTCTGCAGGATTTGGGTTACAAACACTGGGGGAGGACGTCTTCAAAAGCCAACTGTTTCCCACAGAATTTATGGAAAACAGTTTGTCTTGTACCTGTGTACCCACTTGTTTTCACTCTCTTTTTTGGTCTATTTTTTTGAGCTGGTAGAGCTTTTCCCCTCTCCATGTCCCAGTTCCTCATGACTCAAGAGGAGATGAGAATCCTTACTTGCCCCAGAGGTGCAGTGAGGAGCCAGGGCTGTATTAAGCTCAGAAGAAGAACAGGCCTTTACTATTACTATTACTATTACTATTACTATTACTATTACTATTACTATTACTATTACTATTACTATTACCATTACCATTACCATTACCATTACCATTACTATTACCATTACCACTTTGGTGTCTTTGGTTGTACTTGTAACTGCTGATTCTTAAACATATCTCTTGGAGAGTTGGCACATAATTGCAATGGCCAGTGCTCTGCCTGGGTTGCAGCCTCACAGCACCAGCACTGCTGTTCTGGTTGGTGTCAGGCTGTAACAGGTAATTTCTCCATCACGTTACATTGTCTGTTTGGTTCTGAAAAAAAATGCCTTTGTGCTTTGCCTTCCCCTTTTCTCTGTTTAAAGTGTGAAAATGCCCAAAGTCTGACCCTGCCTTTGCTTTCATTGCCCACATCACTGAGGTGAATAGTTGAGGGATAAGACGAAATACATCTGCACGGTTCTCCCATTGTCTGCTGGACAAGCAGATCACACCACAAGGTGTACATAGACTTACACCACGAGCCAAATTCTGCTGCCTTGCAGATAGTGTAAACATGTAGTAGGGCTCCTGAAGGCAGCGGTGTAGCATGGGACTCACACAAGCATAAATTAAGAGCAGCATCTGGCACTGTGGAAGTGCAAAATTAATTTGGATTTCTTAAATAGTTACAGGGAGTGATGTGCCTGACAGCACTCGCTGTTGAAAGCTATCATTTATTTCCCAAACAAGTTACGTCACCAGACTGCCCTCATAATTACGGCCATGAAAACAGAGGCAAGGCAGTAAGCTTTTTCCTCTTGAATTCTAAAATAACATCAAATGCCTATAAAGGCCAGAATTTCCAAAGACCAGAGCTCACTAAAAGCCTGTCTGTTTGAAAGGCTAGTAGCACAGGTAAGTCTGACTTACTACGGAAAAATTCTCTTTGTGGATTTTATTAATCTAAAGCAGCCCATTTCTGACAAAGGCAGAACAGAAAAACACACTCATTCCTGTCAGAAAGCATGCAGGGAGCACCTAGGAATAGATGTGATGGGAGCCTGCATCAGGCAATTTCCGCGGAAGCTAGCCCTGACTTATGCAGAACCTGAGCTCTGCTGCTCGGTGGCTCTCCAGGATTGATTACATGTCTTGCTTAAGAAGCTTTCAACAAAGGAAGCTGCTCTGATGTTGAAGTGTAAGGTCAAGTTCTCCTCTTGTGTAGGATGTTGTAAATCAGGAGCTGTTCCGCCGCCTGCAGCAGGGTAACCCCTGATTTACACCAGCCTGGCAGCGGGAGAGAGCACCTGGTGAGAGGCTGGCACTCGCCGCGTCGTCCTGCCCTGATGGCCCCGTGCTGCGGGACAGGTGCCGCAGATGCGTGGGGTGGCACCAGGAGAGGACCCGCTCCACGCTGGCACCCGGGCAGGCAGGGCTGAGAGGAGGCATGAGGGCAAGGAGCCACTGTGCCAGCTCTGCCTCCACGCCTGCCGCGTGTCTGCGCCGAAGGGCAGGTGGCACACGCTCCCCAGGGACGCTGCCCTGGCATATCTGCCCAGCCAGCTACTCAGGCTGAGCTCAGGTTTTGGTGCTTAATGTCAAATTAATGCCTGTTTCGCCATCTATTCCTTGCTGTATATATAGCAGATTTTTTTAAAAAATAAAATAGTCTGGATGAGAGTGAGGTGTTTTAAATACCTATAAGGGTCTCTCCTGGGCATGCTAAAACATGAGTATGGTTGGCAGCTGCAGGAGTTACTGAGAACTTAAGGCTCTGGCTGGTCAAGAGGCCTCCTGTGTACAATCCTGTGTAAAACCGGGGACAGGCGCCTTATTAAAGCAGCCAGGCTGAAACCCGTAGAGCTGTAGTTAATCACAGCCATTTTCTTTGCTCCCTCCCCGCTCACTCGATGGTTTTGTAGCAGCGCGCAGAACGAATATGCTGTTTTATAGACGTCTTAATCTATTTCCCGTTACGCGGCAGGTCTGGGACTTGGCTTTCATCCCCGCTCTGCCTGAGGCAGCCATTTGCCTAACAAGGGCTGTGTGTGCCGGTGCCGGGCTGCCTGCGTTGGGCTGTCTGCCCTGGAC